AAATTCCCTCTCCTCTAGATTTGTTGTGATGGTTTGCACAATCCTAGATGAGACTCAAAGTGAAGATGCGCACCATGAGAACCTACTTTCCTTCTTGGGTGCCCGCTCGCCACATAGCCGACCTAAGGACATACAGCCGCAACGGAGAATAATCAGTAAGTTTCAATGTGCTCTGCAGAGCTTCAACGAAGACTAAAGGGCAGGGGATCTCAGTTTATAATATCACTCGTTCGAAGATTGCTACAGAAGTACCCGTTTACGGAGAAGCGCAACACGTCGCAGTCAGTCGAAACGGTAGATTTGCACTTGTCTCGTACGGGCCCACCTCCTCGCCCGAGCTTTGGCACATCAGAATCATTGGATCGGGTGCTGCAGTTCTACAACTGTGTCATGTATACCAGGCACATCCCAAGCCAGGAGACGGAGTAAGAGAGTCGGTCGGCCGTGCATCGTTTGGGTACGTATGAGAACAGCAAGCTGTCGCAATGTTCCCCCGCCTGATGAACACTTGAAAACTCTTGAATTAGTGGAGCTCGAGACGAATATGTCGTGGCGAGTACCAGAGGCAAGTAGATCCTATCATTAACTTTGTTGAAACTAACGACATGGTAGATGGACATGTCTACATCTGGGAAACTGCATCGAGTCGGCTACTCCATCGGCAGATAGGGGTCAACGTTCACGACGGACAGACTCGAGGGGAAGTTACGGGAATCGCTTGGTGTCCGCCAAATAAAGAAAGAAGCCATCCTCTTTTTGTATGCGGGACAACTGATGGGGGGCTAGTTCTTTGGAGTGCAGGACCTCACACCGAAAAGTCGAGAAGTACGGAGGCGTCCGAGTCGTCAACAAGGTCTGTAGAGCCAGATACAAGCAGTCAAGCAGGGCCTTCCAGGACCGGATCTGTATAGTTGGACATTGATATTATATTGGAATGTTGGGGCTTCTAATCATGACACAAGTAAAAGTTTGACTTTCGTTGAACGGCACGGAGTTTGAGCTGGGGAACTGGCTTGAGACTCCTTCGTGGGGCGGTCCATTCGTCAATCTCAACTCTAGTTCCTCGTTCCAGGGTCTAAGTACGACGAAGAGCTCCATTAACCAGAGAGTTTCCATCAGTTCATGTGCATTCGTACTGCATTCGTCGACTTCTTGCGAGTCGCAAAGGAGCTGTTCCCGTCGACCATCGCCGATGGTACCACATTCAATCGGCTACTTACTTGAAGCAGTAAACAGTGTTAACCTGTAGATCAAGGTCGAACATAGGCATCGGTTCGCTCATCCGTTTTATCATCGCAAGCCTGTAGGGACACCCGAATGAACGGGATGGTAAAAATAGAAAATAGGGCGACAATACCCGGAAAACACGCTGATAGCAAGGGAGAAGACCAGGAGTGGCTTAGAGTAGGCTCAAAAAAGTCCCTTCGACCAGGGTCGAACTAGTGGCCTTGGGATTACGTAAGAAGCCATTACAGTCCCACGCTCTTCCAACTGAGCTACAAAGGGCGTCACATCCCCCAATTTGCACAAAGTAACTAGTAGGGTTGAACTTCCAACTTGAGGTGATTGCATCATAGGAGCCTTCATGCTGTTGCAGCGGTTCGCCGTCTGTATCATTATTTCCGCATTGATTTGCGACGTTCTCGCCACTGCGCGACTTCTGAAAAAGAAAAAAAAAGAAGGCTATCCGTGGTCGGGGCAAGTCTCCTTGCCGATGTTGAAACCTACACAAAAGTCTACTCCTGACATGGAGAAGAATCGCTAAATACTGTCTGGAGGCGCAGGAGTAACCGTGGTCCAGGTTGGAAAAGATGCATTGAGCAAGAAAATCACTCATCAGGGTTCTAGAGATTCCACAAAATAGTAAAAGCCGACATAGCCTGTATGAAAGTGATCGTATGGGCGAAAGAGTGCAGTTTAACCAACTTTCATGATATTGCTACCACTGGATAGAGAGCTACGGACACAGGGAGGAAGACAGAAGAGAAGCCGCTCGAAAGACGGGCCATGGACAAGCGGAAGAGAGGAGTAGAAAGAAATGAGAACGAATAAAAAGTGAGGAAACGGACGAGACTTTCGAACGACGGGCGTGAAGCTACAGGTGTCAACCAGGCAAAAGAAGAGAAGGGGAAATGACAGTGCACAGCAGAATGAAACAGGAGTAAAGAGAGAAAGGGGGCGAGTACAAGAGATTGGAAGGGGAAAGAGACAGAGAGTTAAAGAGACGGAATGCGAGTCAAGTGAATGGTCCAAAGGCAGGAAAAGAACGTTACGGTGTCAAATGTTCAGGAGGCATGTTCGGAACCGGAGGTGGTATTTCCACTTTTCTCCTCTGAGGATCCCACGAGATCCGATGGAAGCTCTTCTTTTTCCGGACGCTGGCGTTGTACGCCGCTCGGACAGGATTGGGTTGACCGTCCGGTGCTGCAGCGGAAGCGGACGAAGGGAACGACATTCCTCCGTCGCTGCTCAGGATGGACCTGCCATGCGAAGCGGGAGACGACGCGGCCGTCGACGAGCTGTCGCCCAACGCGCCAGGCGAGAAAGGCGAAGGAGAACTCGCAGCCATAGATGATCCGCTTGAGACAGAGTCTTGCTGCCTTCCTTCGCGACGGTATCCCATGGGAGGCGCTGATAACGGCGGCATAGTGGGCGTATTGGACTCTGGTTCCTCTTCCTCGTTGGGAGGAGTAGAAGGCGAAGGCGTCCTGACCGAGCGCGTTGGCCAACCGGAACCGTACGGAGG